CAGGACCAGCCTTCAGAGCAATGGGCATGGATGAGTGCACAGGCATAGTTGGCATAAGTTGCCTGCCTGCTATGCTTCAATTGGTTTTGGAGTTTGAACCAAGACCGCTTCAATCGAGTGGAATTGCTGCAACGAATCCCAGCAGAGACTGGAATCGGCCACCTTTCCACGGAGCAACGTCTGAATGGAGAAACGATTGCGCTATATTCGCTAAATTGCCATTTGCGAGGAGCTTTGATCCTTTTATAGCTCTATTGTCCTCCCTTGGTCAATAAAAAGTTGTTTGGATTTGTCTCCACTAGCTCGACAAAGGCCCTACTTTGTGGAAGCTGGTGCTTTCGGAGTTCGCTGGCTACAGCTGGTGGGGATGCTGCATTGTGTGCAGGCAGGCGATCAGATGGCAACAACTAGCACAGATGGCAGGCCATTTGACCGCGCCCCGACAAAGTCCCCAGACTATGGGCCCTGACCTAGATAGGTCACGTAGGGCCCATCCCTTTCGCACAGTACTTGACACACAGTGCACCAGCCGTGTTGCAATTGATTCCTTTTTCCATTCGGTCTCCGCGTTGTTTGTTTTGCACGGTTTCTTGCTAGTCAGTACGCTAAAAGCATGGCTTCTTCAAAGGAGGCTCTTGCATGCTCTTGCTGTGCGCCTGGCTACACCGTAGCCCGTGCGGCCCGTGTTGTTCTTTGGTTGCGGAAACGTGTGATGTGTAGTGAGTTAAAGAAATGTCCGTGAGCCCAAAACAACTCAAAAGTGACTCCAACCATCTCCAACCAGTTTTTGCGTCGATGCCATCTCTTGGCAATTGGCTGTTTAACTTCCTCTTTACAACTACTTCTCGCTCAATGTATATATGGAGCCAAGCGACAGAATTTAGCACGATTTTGTTCTTTGATAGTAGGTGGTCTAAAACCTGCATCGCGCAAGGTTAGCGCAAGGCCATCCCAAGGTTTTGCACAAGGGCTATTTATATATATATACACGTCAAACACATTTATATGAAATGCTTGGTTACCGGATGTTACCGGCTTGTGTTGTAGAGGGGAACTGAAACTGAAACTAGGGGTGGGTAGTGGATTGGGTCTAAGACTCTAAGAACGCTTTCTTGTCTCCACCGCACGAATGCAGTGCGACATGCGGCAGTATTGTAGAAGAGAACTGGATCGAATTTACGTGCAAGATCCGCGCAAGCGCGAATTTACATAAAGCGTGAGGGGACATGTCGACTTCTTTGAGCCACCTGTTTCAGCCACGGCGCTTCCTGAGATTTGTCTACTAGAGAGGGATTTGACCGGGCCAAGCCATTCCTTTGAGAAGGTAGCCGTGCTGTTGCATGCGTACGTTCACAAAGTGTTATACACCGTCACTCAGAAGTTGCGGGCGTTCAGCATTGATAGACTCTGAAAATTTTGCTGTGGATGTGGAAGCACAATCAGCAAGATGAACTCTTCGCGATAACAGTTTTGCCGCCTAGCTTTAGTTCAACCCAGTCCAAGAAAACCGGGTACTTGCTTTTTTGTTTGTGTTCCCTTGCCACAAGTGATCCATCAAACTTGGATCGAAGAAACCTGGTCCAGCTTCTGTGGGCTTAGTATTGTTTCTGTTTATATTTGTTCCTAGTAGCGTTCTTGTTACTACTAGTAAGGCACCTGTTACTACTAGCGTGGCACCTGTTCCTAATAGCGGGCCTAGTGTCCAGACCAACTTTCCTGTTCATTTGCTCCATCGATTCTGTCAAAACCCCGTCAGTATAACTCCTAATATGGCTTTGGATCAAAAACCGCAACACCCTGGTTGACCACCGAAAAGGAACAACATAATATAGAAGTACTCGATGTCTGTAGTGTTTTCACAAGTTTTTGTGATGCAAATGGTTAATGTTTGCAAGGCAACTGAGATTCCGAAGGCCGCACACGCAAGTCACTGCTTGTGTCCCGGAAGAAGCATGCAAAAGTCAAAAGTATCAGGAAATCAGGCATGTTGAATTGCAAATTGCACGTGTGTGAAGCTGTTTCCACATTTCCGAAACTGGTGAGTAATTAGTAATTGGATGTAGTTGGTCATCCTTACGCCCATCAAAACACAGGCCCCGCGCTTCCATGCGCTTCCCCCTTTAACAAAAAATCCGGTGCCGCGTGTTTTTGAATTGGGGTCCGCAACATGGCTGAACCTCGCAAGATGTAGACCAAAATGCACTTCTTGGAATTGGAGTGTACATCAAGTGGAAGATGTAGCTGAGTAACCTAAAGCCAAATACAGACCCGCGACCGATAGTGAACAAGCATCATGATGGAAAGATGAAAATGTATTTCAATATTATTAATCATAGATTAGATACCCAAGAAATTAGCGTGGCGAAAAAATCCTGCAGCATAGAGTTTGCCCCCCTTGAAGGTTTCCTTCTAAAGATCCCAATGCTTAACAACAGACGTTGATTCTCAGAAGAAACGATACGAAGCAAACGCAGTCAACACGAGAAAAAGCATTGCTGAAAGTAAGCCGACTGCCACCAAATAAGGGACACCCACCAGCAGTTGTTGTCAATGGGTGGCCCCAGTGTATTTGGACACTCCCTGGATTCAAATCTTCCCTAAAGGGCATTGCTAAAATGAAACATGCAACATAGAGAAATTGCCCTTTCCCTTGAATATGTTCTCCCAAAAAAGAACCCGTGAAGTTCCTGGATTGATTTTTTTTCCTGAATACAAACATAATGTTCTTCTTTGTAAGTCTGAGTGTTGCTTTAGATCTCTAGTCAGTGCCAATGCTTGGCCAGGAATATGGCATTGACTTTTCCACCACGGTGGGAGCATCCATGGCTACTTGACATAATTTGGCATGGCTACTTGATGAAGAAGGACTTGTTCACCTCATCTCACCTCATCTCACCTCTTTGGTCATCCTGAAGCACGGTCGACCCAGTGCGTTTACACGACCTGGGCCTCGAGGTTCCAGTCTTCAACGCATCTGGAGATGTTTTGCTCTTCGAGCGCCTGACCCAACGACTGAAGGGCTGGTCCCGAGGGGAGGCTCTGGGGTGCATGGGGACAGGACGGGAGAACAATTGCCCCTTGTTTATCCATAGAGCCAGCATGAGCCAGCCAAAGGGCAGAAATTCGGCACAGTTGAAAGAACCAATTGCTTATATATATATATAGTGGTTGTGTGTGTGTGGCTTGCTGTGATGTAGCTAATTAAGAAAGTCAAGGATGGGAGCAGCAGATTCCAGCCGCGAGTTCCGGTTTTTGTTCCGGATCCAGTCAGAATGGCTGCATGTGGCGGTCTTCTGCTGCGCAGGTGGTAGTGGCCACATCGCCCAAAGATCCCGACGCAAGAATTTGCCTGTGGCCCAGTGGCCGAGTTGGATACAGCCTAAAAAGAAGCAGAACTCATCCAAGCTCATGAAGCTACTAGGGGCTCCTGGCATCGCTAGTAGGAGCAAGGACACAACTAGGGGCTCCTGGCCGTACTACTAGGAACACGAAGCCATTTAAGAAGCCACTAGTAACAAGAAGCTACTAGCTCTCGAGGCAAACGTATTTTGGGCCTTCCTGGAGACCGGGCTTGGAGCCTCAGAATGTGATACTTTGGGTGCGGATGAGCCATTGGAGTCATGTCATATTTCCAAAACCTGGACACCAGGTCCTCATTTGTTGTTCATTCATTCATTCATTCATTCATTCATTCATTCATTCATTTGTCATACATGTCATGCATTCAAACATGCATACATACGCAAAGTGCATGCATGCATTTCAGACACATTATATCAAGTATTATATATCATATCATTAAATTATATTGAGATATATGTGTGTGTGTCACACTCTGTTTCTAAGAGTTTTCCACAAGCAGGGGGATGGAGAGGACATGTGAGGCTCCATCCAACGAAGCTCCTCACATGATGCTAGGATATCGGCAAGGACGCTTGCCGACGTACCTGCATTTAACTGTTGCTCACGCTGTTCCACTCTCGGTTTGTTTCATGGTGTTTTTTTGCATGCTACTCCCACCTAACAGGTTTTAGCCGCCGTCGTTCAGCCGCGTTTCTGCAGACAAGTGAACAATTTGTTCAACATTTCAGTTGCGCTGACCTTTTCACCTTGCGTTTCCCTTATCCCTTTCTACGTGGAACAGAGATAACTGCAAACCCATTGTCTAAGTGTGTGTGTTTGCTTCCGGAATCTTTGTGCCCACCGGCTGTTCTGTTTTGCGGTGCTGCCAGCATTTCTGGCCCAGCCATTTTGGGTTAGATTTATGAGGTCAAAGTTTCGGCCCTGGGCGAGGAGAAAGAGTCGCAGCCCAAGCCTCTTTGTTGTCGCCTGGTTTTCGGCAGCCATCGTTTCGGGCGGACTTGCCAAGGGTGCTGGTGCCTCGCGGGCACGTTTGGCTGGAAGGCGACAACAAGAGTGCTTCACATGACTCGCGGCATTATGGCCCAGTACCTGCCACTCGATTGACACGTGGAGAACACTAGAAAACCCTAATCCTTTCACAGAAGCCTGAGGTGGGTTTGCTTCAAGGAAAGGTGCGGCTAAAGCTGTGGCCACCCTTGGAAATTGGTTGCTCAGCTGAAATGTGTTCGCAAGATTTTGCAAGAATCTTTCCAAAAGGTGCATGTTGTGGAGGCAAAGCAAGATAAGCACGCATCATAAAATATGTGTTTAAGCATGCCTTGGTTGAGGTCGAGTTCGAGTAGTGCCTCCGTGAGTGATAAACGCCTGCCCCCGACAACGAGCAGTGGCATGCGCCAATCGCGGCTGCTGTGAAGGGTGACGTTTGGACATTTCCATGACGTTAAGCCAGGCAAGTGTCAACGCTTATCTCGTGAGGTATTGAAAAAATTCCGAAATACAGTTCGCAATGCACTGTGAGCGACTGTGAGCATCAGAACTTGTCATCCATCCGAGTGTTTTGTTCAGCCTCAGCGATATTTTTAAATATATCTTTGGGGGGGGGGCAGGGCGGCAAACAATTGCTTCGAGTTGTCTAGGCGCTGGCACCAAACCTCTTGAGCGAAAGGTTGGGAACCTAAGTTGATTTAATTTGTTTGGTTTGCATTCATCAGTCAGAATTGATGTGTTCAATTGTGTTCATGCAAAACAAGGTCAGGCAAAAATCAGCTGCTCCTGTTGGCTGCGCAGACGATGCAGGAGGTCAGCATGAGGGATCATGAGGGTAAATGTGTGAGTATTTGAAGTTTCTAAGTGCAGTTGAGTGAGAGGAAACAGAAGTTTTGAACAATATCACTGAGATAATTGACGTATCCTTTCGTCAACAGGGGCATGTCATGTCCCACCAAGTCAATCTTGTTGAATCATTTCGATGAGGTTTTCGCCGACGGCGCACCTCAGAACAGTTTCACGGACCTCCAAAGGTTGGACAGGTGAAAGCGAAGATGGGTACAAGATGTACAAGGCTGGCCAGGCTGGGCCGGAAGAGGAGTCCATTCGGGCGAACAAGACCTTCTGGCATCTCCCGACACCGATTGCCAGGCAGATGAGGGCCTCTCGCGCTATTGCCAGGCATCCATGACATCATGACGAACTTAGCAGATGAACTTGGCAGTTCTGAGCATCAGACCCTGCACATTGCTCTTTGTTTCAATGGGGCCAGCGAGACCCAGTGGCCTGGGAAGAGTACGCACTAAACCCATGCATTGATTTGGGGTCTCAGTGTTACAAAGTCTTGCTGCACTTGCAGACTTGAAGGCCTTTGCTGCTGCGGTTGAAAACTTCAAAGGTGCCACTGGGTGTTCAGTGTGTGTTTCGAACAAACCTCAGTTGTTTGACAGAGGAAACGGGTTTCTCTCCACGCCAACGGCTGCTGGAGAGGTTGATACCGCTTCAAGAGAGAGAGAGAGAGAGAGATTGGCACCTGTAGGTAGTATATGCCAAGTCAAATGGATTGCAAGGTTGGCCCGTCTTATATATGTATATACAGTATATATATATATGTATATATGCAGCATATAGAAGACGGGCCAACCTTGCAATTTATTATGACGTGTCTTTTTCCTGCAGCTGCTTTGTAGAACCAGCGGGTGGGTCGCGCTTCTTGCCGCGCGGCGGCTGGCCATGGCACGGAGGCGGGGGAAGACCACATGCACCTAAAACCAGGAGCAGCCTGTTTGGGTGTGCAATGGATTACCCTACTCCATTGGACACCCCGGTGTCGGACGCCGCAAAGTCGGAGTGAAATCAATTAGAACACCTGTGCAACCATGATTGAAGGGAGGCCTCAAACAATTTCAACATTCTGAGTACTACTTAGACGATTACTCCTGGTGTATCCATAGTATAAGTTGGTTTCAGGTTGATATTGACTAATGTTGGATGCTGATTAGTAATAGGGCCCTCTATATATAATGCTAAATTATTCAAACATAATTCTTGACACCATATTTGTTTTGAGGGTTCTCTATCATGCTAACTGTTTTTGGGATCCAGGGATCCTCATGTTTATATTAATTATTTGAACAATAACTAGAGTTTTAAATCATTCGGAGATTTGTCAATACTACTAAGCCAATGGCTAGCTTGCTGAGAGTATAGGCTCTAGTTCTTCTTCAAAACTGACAGCTTCCCAAAGCCATCGATTTCTTAATCAATCCTGTATGTAAAGATTGCTCCTAAACAAAATTTCAAGATAGTACACCAGGAAGGCCCCTGATCCTCAATTATAAATATGTAGTTTAAGGATCCTCGATTGTGCAATTGGTTCATCAATAAAAACATGGTCATTCTTGATACTACTAAGCCAATGGCTAGCTTGCTGAGAGTATTGATAAGTATAGGCTTCTCTAGTTTTTTTCTCTAGTTTTTCTTCAAAGCCGCAGAGAACCTGAGAACCTTCTAGTAGTATGAAAGGATTGCTGAGAATTTCCAATTATATACACAGAACCTGAGAAAGGACAATGAATACTACAATCAATTACAAAAGGATTCCTGCCAGGAACCCAGGTTTGTTTCGGAGGTACTTTATGCTGGCGGCGTCATTAACGACCCCGCTGTTTTTGTGCGGTACTTGCGGCACTTTGTAGTTTCGTGTGGTATTTACATGTCATCATAGCCTGTGGGGGGGTGGGGTGGGGTGGGGTTGGGATGTTAATGTTCAGTTCAAATTGCACACCCATACAGCCGAAACCTTTCTACGCTACGCGCGCAATACGAGTGACTGAGAGTGGGGTGGGGTGGGGTGGGATGTTAACGTTCGGTTCAAATTGCACACCCGTATACAAAAGAAACTCTTCTGCGCTTTGCACACCAATATGTATACACGAAGCGTGCTGTGTTGCGCACACATGTTTTCTCATGTTTTCTCGTACGCATGTTTTCCTGCAAATAACAGTCGAAACGCAGTTCGCAAACCATTAAAAACATCGTTTTCGTGGATCTTTCATGTTCACGAAAGGTAGCCCTTTAGGGGATACCTTGAGTTTGTCTTGCGAAGCAAGTGTTGGGACGTCCGGGTCTAATAATTGATCACTCAATTCAAACCCCCTCCC